TTTCTATATAATCAATATCATCATCATTATCAAAATCATCAATATTGTCATCAGAGTGAATATATGTATCTATATAAGAAAAGCTCTCTTCTAAGAAAAAGGATTTTTTTTGGCTTTACTTATTTTCTTAAAATTATAAAAAAAAACTGATAGAAAGAATTCAGGAAAAAATGTTACCAACAAACAAGACAAAAAAAAAAAAACTAACTAAAGATTATCACGCCGCAAAAATTAAATATTTAACATCATCAGTAACATATAAACATATCCCAAGTGCTTAAACAACCCAAGCACTTCCACCCAAAAACGTTGAATACTTTATCATAGGTATACGATAATGTTATTATATTTTTTTTAGAGTAAACACGAATCCTTGTGGGAATTTAGTACAATTGTTCAGTAATAAAATAAAAAACAAAGCAAAAAAAAATTAAAAGAAATTTTGGAAGCAAATAGCAAAATGAAACAAAAATGTGGTGACATATAAAATACGTAATTTCTCATGCGCGAATGCCAACCAAAAGATGTATAAAAGTGTGAAAATAAGAAAATAGCAAAAAAAAGAAGAAAGTTTGAGAAAAATGTAAATGTAAAACAAAAAAAAAATTAATTTCATTTTCTGTTCCTTTACTTTTTTCTCGCTTCTTCTTTTTATTTTTGTTATTTTCTGCTGCTTTTTTTCCTTGTGATAATTATTACCCGGTTTTAAGATGAAATTAGTTTCCTTATGATCCTTGTAAATATATCATCATAATTTTTTTTATTATTTAATAAAGCAATTGCAAAATATTACAAACGAGTAAAACAAAAATATAATTGAAAGAGTAAACCCAAAACAGGATATCATAAAAATATAAGTATAACAGTTGACATTACTTATATAATAATGTTATCCTGAACATTGTTTCATGTAATTAAAATTTGTGTACATTAATTCAAATAATTTTAAAATAATTTTCTGGTTTTGATTAATAATAAAAATAAAATATTGCAAAATTAGAAAAGTGTTAAAAAAAAAACTATTATACTTCTTGTATAATACTATTTCAAGGAAAAAAGTTTTTCAATTAAAACTGTATAACAGAATTTGTTTTTCTTTTGAAATGTATGGGTAGCAAATATTACATTCTGAATTTCGAAAGAAATTTTTTTTAATTAATTCTTGATTAATTTTATTATAACTTCAGAAACTGATATAATTATAACTGCTTATTCATAGAAAAGGAAATTCGATTTGGGCAGCAGTACAAAACCGAAATTAATATTAATTAAAATTCATGTGATTTTAAAATTACGATATTAGTAACCTTCTAGTTAATATTATTTTAGTAAAGTTATGCTTAAGATTCATTTTGTCGAATTCAATTTTCCCAAAAAGTTTGTCAGTTAGTGTTAAATTCTCGAGCTTGAGCCTAAATAATAAATTTCCAAAACCCTATAATTATTTCTTGAAATGTAATCCCAAAAGTCTATCGGCCTTAAATCGGTGTAAATTTTCTATCGGTTAAAAACTACTGTTTCACTAATGCCTAATTTGGTTTATCCGCGAGAAATATTTTTGTTTTATTTTCTTAAATACGAAAAGTGAAAAGTATTAAAGATCATCAGTTGCTGGCACCTGAATTTTTCAAAAAATTGTTGCTAGTTCGTAATATAGTCAAGGAAAAACTTATATACAAAATTTCAAAAACTTAAAATAGATTCGTTTTCAGTTATATGGTTCAGGTGTTTAAAGCCTCCATATTTAATCAACTCTGAATTTTGATATGAGTTTTCAATAAAAAATTGAGATTCACGAGTAAGACAAACTAACAGACTAACGTGTTACTAAAGCCAGTGTAATTATGAAAGTTAGTCTTTAAAAACTTGACATGTAAAATTTACATTTTTATACTCTTATCCAAGGCAAGTTGGAACTAATGTAAATTGATAAGGTTTGAAAGGAAAATAAAACCAAATCTTCAAAAAAATCCAAATTTGAAATATCAGTATAACAAAGGAATGGCTGCAACTGGTGTTATAATTAGTGTCTTTCAAAACTATATACGAGTATATACGAGATTTCTACATAACTTTCTTATTAAGTTTAATTTTTCATAATTAAAGTATGAATTTGAAAAATTTTTGTTAGACTAAAGTAGCACTTTAGCAAATGTATGAGAAACTTTACTTTCAGTTTTCGCTGTTATTTGCAGCTCTTTCCTTCAGTCTTTAGTTTAAGGTTGACGTAACCGCATTAGAAGTGTTAATATGATGCTTCATTTTTATTAGGAATCCATTTAATATAAGTTAATTTATTATACATTTTATTAATACCGTTTTATAGAAAATCTCACATTGGAACACCTTGAATCATTCGGTAAAAAAAAAAGGAAAATAAAGAAGAAAGTAAAACCGTTTCCCTTAATGACGTATGCAGATATTTCATCTTATCTTGAAGATTAAAATTAAAATTCTTTCGTTAATTGACATTACAAAACATTTTCTTCTTGAACATTTTTTTTTTACTCCTTTCATACATAACGAATGTACTATTAAATAAATTTTATCTAATCTATGAAAGTATAGGGTTACCAAATCACCATTCATATAATTTTTGAATTCAGTATTTTACATCATACGGTCGTTACAAAATTATATTTAAACCAGAATTTCCACATTTCAATGGATTCTTCCTGTTCTCGCCGAAACTTTAGAGTAGGAATCAAAGTTTCAAGTTTTTTCACTTTTTTCAAATTTTTGATATAATTTTTTCTTGTAGTTGGTAAAATGTAAAAGTACAAAATTATAGTAACCTTTAGATACTAATAAATAGTTTAATTCTGAAGTTATCGTCTCTTGAAATTTATAAATTTCGAATTTTCGTTATCTTATATTTCCGAAGCTGTAAGCTTTCCCAAATTTGCAGCAGTAAATGTCTTGCGATCAAAAAATTTAATTATTCATTTTAAGTTAAACAATGAACAATTAAGTTCAACCGTTGCTTATGCTTCTTTCCATTTTTTTGGTGTTTATCCTAAATGTATGAAATAATTTGATATATATTTGTTATGCGAATTAAATGCAATTTAAATAATGGAGCTCATTTTTTTTAAAAGCAGGATTTTCACTTGTTCAAGTAAATATTTCTCCTTTACAAACCATTGATGTAACACAAAGTTTATTGTTTAAAAACCTACGGTGACAAATTGAAAGTCATTCATATTTGAGAAATATTTGTAGTTTGTTAGTTTGTTCTAAAATGTATACTTTACATTGTGTATTATTTGAGTGCATACATTGTGTAGTTCAAATTTAAATTCATAAATTTAGTATTGAATTGAAATCAAAATTTAAATTTTCCCATTGCAAATTAACAATTACTATCAATAAAATGTGAACAATTTGGCAACCCTAATAGATCTATAACATATAACAACACTATAAATTTAAGATTATGTATTAGAGTGTAGTCATTAAATATAATATTCTACATACATTAAGAACCCCCCATATATAGCCACATTCTGTTATACGACAATACATTTTACATTTATATTATGTGTACATACATAATGTTGTATATATAAATATATATTAAAAAATCTTTTATTGTTGTCTCTTTCTGCACTCTAAAAGAAATTTATCATTTTACGTAAATTACATATACAAATATACAAATATAGGTAACTACTTTTGGGAAAATCCTTTATGATTTCTGATTTTCTCTCGTTTTTATTTTGTAGTTATCGTTGTTGTTATTATTGTTGCCGTTAAATAAAATCTGCGAGTAAACTTATTCCATTTTTTTTGTTTTCCTTCTTTTTCATGCTTTTGGTTGTCGTTAACATACAACTCATCATTTGTCTTTCATCATGGGAAATTTTATTGCATAAATATACAAAATGACTGACAGTAAAAAGTGAATGAGTAATTAGGATTTAAAGAAAAACAAGAAATTTCTTTTTTAAGGGAAAACATTTATAAAATATCAAAAAGAAAAATAAAAAAAGAAAAAATAATAAAAGTAAAAAATTATGATTTAATCCATAGAGTTTTCATTTTGTATAGAGAAATTTTTTTTTCAAATTGGATAGAATTCCATTATATAAGGAAGAAGTGGATCTTTTTTTAAAATAAAATTTCCTGTCGAATTGGAAAAATTTTTTACTTTTAAAAAAAGTATTAAAATTAAAATTATTTCATTAAATCTGTAACACGAAGGTAATACTGCCTCCACAAATTATTGCAGCTATTGTGAATAGTTCCATTGTAAAAAATGAAGGAATTCTTCATATAAAATTATAAATTCAAATCTAAATTTTTTTTTGTGTAATTGAACGGCATTAGACAAAATTTATAAGAATTTCCAGTTGATATAGGCGTAAAATGTACAATTAATGATCTTCTCTGAAAACTTGTTCTAAATCTCTCTTCTGATTGAAAGGAAGCTTTAGTTAGAAAACCGTTAAATAGAAAACTTAAGTGTCCTGCAAATTTTTCATTTTTTCGACGCCACTGATTTCTATCTGCAATAATTTGAATTTATTTTCCTAACTTAACTGATATTTACGCTTACATAAACTTCTTTCAACTCTTTAAGAATTAAGAGCAAAAAATCCAAACAAACATCATTGTCATGTATTCTTTTTGACAATTAATCAATTTTTTTACTCACTTCTATGTTTCTAGTACCATTAAAAGCATTTAGCCACTTATTTCTTCCCACACTTATAGTGTTTCTTACATTCCTTGTGTTCCATATGAAAGAGTAAATATGTATAAACAATCAATTTATATATCTTTATATATGTATTATGTATATAATGCGTACGAGTCAATATAAAAAAAATTATGTATATCCAAAATTAACAATATATTTGACATACACAACCATAATATATAAAATTATGTTGATCGGAAATTTTATATTAAAAAATTATATAATATTTTTATATATTTATATAATATTATTTTTATCACTCTTTCATTATTTTATATATTTGGAATTCATTTTTCAGCATCACCGGACAGATCAACATCAGCGTCATCGTGCTCTAAGTGCTGTTCATCACTTTTGTTATTTTTTTTGACAGCTACAACATTATATAGTGGCAGCAGTAGCAATATTAAGAACAGTAATAACAGTAGAACAAAAAATATCAATAATAACAGTGATAATAATAATAATGAGAATAACAATAATAATGACGACGACAGCATCAGAAATAGTAATAATAAAATCAATACAAGTGACCGTCATATAAAAATTAATAATACAACAAATATTAATAATAGCGGTAGAAGTAGAAAAAATACTAGCAGTAGCAATAGTAGTAATAGAGGTAACAGCAGTTGTTATGATATACGTATTAATCGTAATAGCAATCAAGACAACAACAATCATAATAATAATAGTAATGATGATGATGATATTGATGGTGATTGCGATACCATACCAAATCTTATTGTATTGATAATATTATTAAGGATATCAAAATTATTTTTATCAAAAATGTCACCATCATCTCTGTTGTTCGTATTACGAAATTGGTCAAATGTTCATTTAAAAGAATTTATCAATATCAATGCTACTATAAAAAATATGTTAAAGAAAATGAAAAATTATATAAAAAAATATAATATTCAAGTATATAATAATACTCGTATAAGTAAAATAACAATACTATCATCACAATCATCATTATTACTATTATCAATACTTTTATTATCAGAGAAGTCAACAACAGAAAAAGAATTATCAATAAAACTATCATTATCATTATATTTTTTTTCATCATTATCATTATTATTTTCAATACTTATTGTTATAATAATACTAATCTCAAGAATCTCATGGTCGATTGCGACTATTCTTAAATATTATCATGATGTCAGTGACTTATTATTAGTTAAAATACAAAAATTAAATGACATTTGTGGCTATGATATTGACAGTTGTTGTTACTATTATAGTTACAATCATTTTATATATAATAATAATAGTTATTATTGTTGTTGTTGTTATTATTATTATTATGATTATTATTGTAACTGTTGTTATTCTTCTTTAAAATATAAAATAATTCATATAAAGATAAATGAATATTATCGACAAATGATAGTTACTATATTAAAAATATATTCAACAATAAAATTAATGAAAATAATAATAACAACAAATATGACATTAATAATGATTTTAATGATAATTTCTTTAATATTAAATCAAATAAGATTACAACAACTTGTGGATATAATTATAGCTATAGTTAAAAGTATATTATTATTTTCGTTTCATTTAAAATCATATTATAATGGAAACATGTTGAAAATTGGAAAGTATATAAGATGAAGAAATTGGAATAGTTAATAAAGACTGACTTTTTTATTTTTCTTTCTTTGATAATAGCATAAAATAATTAAGAAACAAAAAAAAAAAGTATTATATTATATATTTATGTTCTACAGAATGTTTCACTCCTGACATAAGTTACAAATGTTGAGTTATAAAAAAAAATTTGAATAAAATTTTAGTATCTAAGGCGATCATAAATGATATTTCCCTATAAGTCATATGCAAAAAATAATTCATTAAATTTTTTAGAATTTCGAATGATTTTAATATTCAAGGAAGAAATTCAGAAGGAAATTAATTAAAAATGAAATATATTTAATTCAAACCGAATTTTAGTCAGAATTCACAATTGATACAAATAGTTGAAACAGGGAAATCACGGCTAATAATAAAAAGACGGTATATGATTCTCCAAATATTCTTCTCGGCCATTTTTTTACATGTACAATCATATATGTATTCGAACGATATAAAAATGGTCGAATTCTGAATCGTTTTAAACATGTCTGCCCGTTCGTCCGTCTGTCCGTATGTATGTCTAAACGACAATTCAACAACTAATTTAGATAAGTTTACCAAATTTGCAAAAACGCCAGAACCCCATTTAAATTGAATATGACCGCGCTACTGGTTCGGGTAGCTGCCATATAAATCCAAAATTTATTTGGCTATACATCAGAATTATAAAAGCTATGATATTGAAATGTCGAATAAGCGAATATATTAATAGAATAGTCTCGAATATATTAGTCGAATAGTCTCATTCGCTATTTGCTACAAAAATGTTGAACAAAGTAATTTGATGATGAGGCTATAATTTTCAATAAAATTCTTTTACATTCCATGGGTTTATATGGTAACTATCATATTGTTATATAAAATTGAACTAGACATAAAAGTTTTATAAAATTTTATTAAAATCTAATTTAAGTGCAATTAAATAAATTCACATTTTTAAATTGTGTACCAAATTGATAAATTTTACTAAATTTTTAAATGGAAATAATGAAAAAAATTCTTTATTAAATATTGTTCTAACTTCAACTTCTTAAAGTTTTTTTGAATGACTACTCCGCACATTCCATAAAATTTTCGGAACATTCTGTACTTTATAACATAAAAATCATGTATTGCTATTTATGTATATTATATAAATATGTATAGGAATTTAATGTAATTACATTTCATATTTTTCAATTATATAATTTATATTATAAAGAATTTATAATTTAATTTAATGTTAACATAATAATTAATAGAATATTAATTGAAAAAAAAAAAACAATGATGACAATAATCTGTCAGTTACAATATATAAGAAAATTATCCATGAATATATTATTATAATTATACATATATAGATATAAATTTATATTTTAAATATACTGTATGTACATAAGTTCATATGTATGCTAATAACATATATACTTAATGTAGGGAAAATTATAAATAATGAAATTGCATACATATTATTATTAGATATAAAATTAATACGGCTCTGGTAGAAATAAAAATATGACAAAGGTGACAGACGACAAATTCAAAACAAAAACTCAATGATTGCAAATTCTTTAAATTATTTTACAAAACAGATTTCAATTTTTCAGGAATCGATAAAGAAAAATTTGCTTTTTTAATTTAATTTCAATATAAAAATGCATTTCATGGAAAGAAGAGAGATTTAAGGTAAGTAAACTAATTTTTTTTTGGGTCCTTTACAAGGATTTTGTTCAATTATTTAAATTAATCTTCACAATGGGAGGATTAAAACAAATAATAATATTAATTTTTCAACTATAAAATTTTTGTGATTTAAAATCTTTAAATTGTAAAAGGAAAATTTTTCCAGAACGTAATTTGCATACAATTTGCAAAAGTAACGATATCTAATACTTTTTGACGCTAGCGTCATAAATTTCAGTTTTCGTTTCTAACGCAAGTGATAGCCATTTTGTGATTTTTTTTTCATTTATTCATGTATTACTGCATTTACAAAAACTATTAAATATGACTGATTTTGAATGAATAACTCACTAGAGTTGCTTCATTTATGAGTTCATATGACCGTCATTTCCAAATGAAAGTGAGTAACCGATGTGATTGACATGATGATGTTGCGGGAAAGTCAATCCAGTTTTATGTTGAGATTTATTTTTAATAAAAAAATTGTATCCTTTTTATTATTCCGCAATTTAGGAATATAACTATTAATTTGTATACGTCATTCCGAAAAGAAATAATCAAACTCGGTTCAAAATTTTTATAATTAAAATTTTATCCATAGAATCATCTGACTTATGATGATTTTTATTGATTATAAAATCTCCCAAATGTCATTATCCATAATTCGTATCTCTGTATACTACAATTCTAGGTGGTAACTTGTGCTATAATAAAATTCTTTTTCTAAAATTAACATTACCAAGTGTGAAAACTTAGCATGCATACGTCATTGTACAATATTATTATCATTTTCATATTTTGGATTTCAAAAACGTTCAAATTAACAATATTGATTTCGGAAATAACGTTAGTTTTGTTATGACGTTAATTTTGTTATACCGTGAACAAAATATGAGGCGTTCAGTAGAATAAAATAAAAAAACAATCACCATGATTTCTAAGAATACTTTAATTTTTAAATTTTTATGCATAGATTTTCATTAGTTATACATTCAATTACTACTTACACAAGGAAGTATAAATTAAATTTATAAAGAAAAAATTAAAATAATAGTAATGTAAGTACTACATTGTACATTTGTTTCCAAAATAATAAAAATTTTTAGTATAAAAAACAAAAGTGTAGATATGTAAGAATAATGTAGCAAACTAAAATACTTAGTAAGTTTAAGGTTATAATATTACATATATATATATTAACTGTAAAATATATTATAATAAAAAGCTTCTAAGAATTGATTGAAAACATTACTGAATAATTAACAAATATATTATATACTTATATACATACATACATGCATATTTATTATTTATATAGGTAAAAACATAATTAAAGAAAATTTGTTAAAATTTTATTCAGATAAATGAAAACTTTCAAAGCTAAACAATATACAAGCATACATACAAATACATACATATATATACATATATATTCGATTTATGCAATTATAATAACAAAATTAATGATTATGTGTGAAAAGGTAAGAAATGTGTAATTTATGCATAATATATACAGACGTATGTATAAAATAATTATAAAAACAATACAAAATAACCTAGAAGAAAAAAATAAAATTTTCAAAGAGTTAAAATTATAAAATTGTGTTTTATTCTATTCACTATGCCAAATGAATATGTCCGATAGATAAGGATCTTCAATTTCCAGATATACACCTATCCCTAATTCCCATGTTTCAATTTATTATACATGCCACATATAAAGAATAGAAATGCCATAAAAATGAAATAGAAGCTTTAAATAAACTTTGTTATTTTAAATTTTACAAAATACAACAACTACAGCTATACCATGGTCCAAATCGATCTTAACAGACTGAATATTTACCGAGATCTTGACAATCTGATTATAGAAATTAATTTTTGAATTATTTAAAAAAATCGTTTTTAAACGTGTTAAAGCCGTCCTTGGAAAAAAATAAGCAATTTCTGAAATTTTTGTGGCGTTCTTCCATTATGTTTTTGGAGTTATCATGCGAGCAAACAAAATAGACGGGCAGAGAGACTGAAGGTCGAACGGGCAAACAAACAGGCAAGCAGACAGACATGTTAATATCGCAGTTTGAAATTTACATTAAATTTCAAGAAAACCTTTTGATTATTTCTCTGTTTGTATGTGTATACATAATATGGAAATTGTTAATTCGAGCCATAGTAAAAGAATAGTTACTGCTATATCTGAATGTTGAACAATCTAAAAAATTAAACTGATTGTGTATAATAATGACTCTTAAAAAATGTATTCATGAATCTTGGATGTAAATTGAATTATTTATTTAAAGGATTTCAAGATATTTTAAACACGTTAATCTCCAGACTTGATGTACGTTACTTTTTAAAGACACTAATTTTAGTATACGATGTTGCATCCCTAATTCTATAAGAAATACGATTAAACTTAATATCCAACCACATATTACAATCGCCCAAACCAATAGTAAATCTTTAACATTTAATGTTTCCATTACGTCACTATCAATAAAATTATTTTGTTTAGCGAAACCATATTCAAGAGCCATTTTTGTCTCCCAATAATTGTATAATCCTACATCTTTAACAAATATTGAAAATACTGTAAATTTTTCGTGGTTAATTGATGGAGACACACTTGCCATATATATGTAAGATTTTCCGAAACATATGGTGGTTTTACAAAGTCCTGGTTTTCTTCCTCGGAATCTATCAACATTATTTATGTGGTTAAAATAATCTGTTGAAAATAAATATCCAAAGTTTACCGAATTTTCTTCTTCAAGCTTTTTTTTTGACATCAGGCATAAAATTCAATATAAATAATATGTTATCAGATCCTTTTAATTGAACGAATTATATCTTGTTTTTGAGAAGGTTGTATCATAATTTTTAAATTATTTTTACTCACTTCGTTCAGATTTTTCGGAGGATTTTTATATGGAGATCTTATAAGAAATGTTGTAATAAATGCTAAATAAATGCTAAATAATTTTTCATGATGAAACTAAATAATACGAAGCCTAAATTAAAAAATCTCATTTTCCATAAATGTTTCAAATGTTTGTTATAAAAACTAAAAATGTTTGAAATACAATTGTTTGTAAATTATTAAAATATTGCCAAATCCAATCAGCAGTCGTATTAAAGAATATTATATTTAAAAAAATTTTAAAATTCCCAAAAAAGAAAATTTATTATAGAAGCATGTAATATAATCAAATGGCAAGATAAAATAAGCTTCCTTTTTTATAATATTCGATTGTGGAGGAAAAACCAAACAATAATCCATATATGACATAGGATAGCTTAAAAAAGTTCCAATTTTTTCCAATTGTATTTGCATTGTAAACTTTTGCTGGTACTACCAGATCTACCTTAAAATTTTTTTTACAAAGTTTTTTCTCAATATTATTTTAAAGCCAGTGGCTACTAATAGCACATGTTATATTACCATTTAGTGATTTTGCAGAAACTTCATTTGCATTGAAGAGAGATAATACCACCTTCTATGAATATATTGATTAATTACAAATATCTGCTAATACTTAAGCTTACTTACCGTTCTCCTTATCGAAACAAATATGGAATCGTAGGAAATGCAATCACTTTCAATTCATAATCATGCAAGTTTTTGGTTCTGTCAGGATATAATATTTGATTGCTATTCCGATTAAATTTGGAAAGTAAAATCTTTGCTCGAGGAAATGGTTGCATTCGATAAATCATTTTTGTTTCATTGAAATTTTCCAGAACTAAAATTGTGTTAAATAATTTCGCACTGAAGCAAATTGTTTTCATTTGAATGGCAAGATTTTTATAACCAAAATTTTCATTTGATCTGATTGGCAATAATAAAATTTTTGACATGTCGATTTGATTGAAAACAGGCTGCTATACAGTTTAAAATATATTCTTGGTGTTTATTCCAGTAAATGGCAATAACGAAAATATTATGAATTGGTGTATTCTTCCATGACATATTAAAGTTTTTATCGTCATAAGTAATGGCTTGTTTGAAAAAGAAAAAAACTTGTTAATGCCTTGAAATCAACTTCATCAACTGATTAACATTATATTTATGACACAAATATAAAATTTGTGTTTCTGGATTTTCAAATTTATATTTGTGTTTCTGGACACAAATATAAAATTTTATAGATCTCTGTATTCTGTTTTAGAATTTTATTAATTAAATCAACTATTAAACTGCATCCCGAAAGAGTTTCTATCATTGAAACTATTATTAATATTTCAAAACAAATCATCCAATACTTTTTTTCAGTTCATATAGTCTTAAACAACGTGTATGTTTAACGAATCGGGGCTTTACTTTAAAATCTGAACTGTTTCAATATTGTTAGCAGAAGAATTGTTGATTCAAAAGAATTTTTTTTAGAAAAAATTTTTATTTTTATTTGAAAATTTTTTATAAAAAAATTCTGTAAAAAACAAAGAATAACCAAGCTAAAATTTATTACCCGCTATTCAATTTACGTAATACTCTATTGAAGTTTACTAGAAATATGGGCTCTCTTGACTATTCAATGCAACTCTCTTGAATAGTGAAAAAAAAATTAGGACAGTCATTTAAAAATCAAGTTCATTACTTAAATAAAAAATAAAATCAGGGGGTCGTGCGTCTAACTTTTTTACGTATGTTTTACAAAAAAGTAATATGTATTAATTGCTTCCTAGAAAATATGTGAACTAGTCATAATTTAATCAAAAAAACGTATAGTTATTAAAAATAATTGCAGTGTGTTTAGTAGATAATTTTCGTATTTGAAATGATAAAATTCGTAAAACTTTTTATATTAAACAAAAATAATTTAATTAAAATTAATTAAAGTTATTAGTATGTATTATTAATATGAAATGGGGCCTATACCCCTATGTTAACGTACTTTCTAGATACCACTCTATGGAGATGGTATATAGAAACCACAAAGAATTTTTCAAGTTCAAATATTCTTTTTCAATAGAATTTTTTCCCAAATTTGATTCTTAAAAGAGGACTCAAACATTCAGTGTCCCTAATTTATCAAAAGAAGAAGAATTTGAGGTATAATGTTAAGTAAGGGGAGAAGGTACCTATTCCAATTGTGTGTCAACATCAGTGCTCCATAAACTAATCAATTATATTTCTTTTTAAATACCTAGTCTTCTAGGTCTGTGATGTAAAAGAATAACGTAAAATTGACCCGCAAAAAAGTTCAGTTCCCAAGATCTGATATATCCCAAAAGTTGATCAATCGTTGATCAACAGAACGAAGAGTTGATCGACAGACCGACAGAGAGACAGACCGATAGACCAACAGACCGAGGAATGGAGGAGTGCGTTCCCACCGAAAACTCGACATCCAAAATTTGGTGCCATCACATTACCTACCTTATTGTATACAATGCGGTCGGTAGCTGTAGACACTAATTAGTCTAAGTATAATCTAGTCACTAATAAGCGTATATACGTTAAATATTAATGATACGGGTGATAAATTTCGCTTGAAAAATTAAACTATCCAAAATTTATACGAGACAATTTTTTAATCTAATAAAAAATTTTAATTGTGGGAAGTTGTGTCATGTCAAATTCTAAAAGTAATTTTTCTTTACCTTTAATATATAATTTCAAAAGAATTCAGGGTCATGGTTCAATATTTGAAATTTTACTAAGTAATGTCCAGTAAAAGTGACATTCAATTTTTTTTTTTATTTTTATAACTTACCACTATAGAGGTTTGATCCTTTGATTTTCTTTTTGTTTGACTAAAGTAACTTGAAATGATTTATGGTTTTCTTAAATGCACTTTTCTTGTGAGTTTTTTCTTTTTGCTTCATGTTGGTTTTTTTTTTCATATTTGTATTCTTTATTGAAAAACTAATTTTCGAAAGAAAAAAAAAATTAAAAAATCCTGTGAAAGGTTTCACATATTTCAAATGATTTTAAAAAGAAGGCTACAAAAAAAAAAAATCAAAATTAAAAAATAAACTAAAAGAAAACTGTCACCATCCAAAAAAAAAAAATAATGTCCTTTAGATTTGATTGGGGATTTGCTCAATTATGTTTATATAAAAATGTCCTTATGATATTAGAGACAAAGTCCGACATGATAAATAAAATCAAAAGAGAAAAAAAAAGGAGAATGAAAAAGCAAAAATAGGAAAATAAAAATTTTTTTACTATTCTCCTGTCAAATTTTTAAACAACTTTTTATTTTCTCCTTTATTTATGTGTGTACATAATGACAAAGGATTACAAGACTTTTTATAACAGTTATTTAACTTACTATGAATAATGTAATAATTTACAAAATACAATGGAAGTGTATACGCTTTATGATATTTAAACATTTTGATTATTCGCTTCTGTTTA